CCAGGATGGTCTCGATCTCTTGACCTCGTGATCCACCCGCCTCGGCCTCCCACAGTGCTGGGATTACAGGCTTGAGCCACCGCGCCCGGCCTCTGAATAATTATTAATGAAGCTTTTGTCTCATCACAGTACTTACTGAATTTTATTATAAGGTCCCATTTACTTGTGCATTTGTCGTACTACAAAGTAAGCTATCTAAAGGCAGGACTGTGCCTTGCAAATAATCACATTTTTCAAGTTTCTTTTACCTCAAACTGACAATTTTCTCCATAGCCTATTACAATTAGTTACATTTTAAAAACACTTGGCTATAACATCTACTTCATTAGAGTTATAAGAATTAAATGGGCCAAAGTAAACATATAGACTCTTAAGAAACTAGCCTTCTATTAAAAAGCTTTTTCGCCTGGGCATGGTGGCTCACATCTGTAATCCCAGCACTTTGGGAGGCTGAGGCGGGTAGATCACAAGCTCAGGAGTTCAAGACCGGCCTGGCCAAGATGGTGAAACCCCATCTCTACTAAAAATACAAAAAATTATCTGGGTGTGGTGGCAGGCGCCTGTAATCCCAGCTACCGAGAGGCTGTGACAGAGAATTGCTTGAACCTGGGTAGTACAGGTTGCAGAGAGTCGAGGCTGTACCACTGCACTCCAGCCTGGGCGACAGAACGAGATTCTGTCTCAAAAATAATAATAATTAAAAAATCTTTTTCTCATAGATATAAAACCCTTGAAAGTTAAGAAATGATTTCTAATATACAAATTAGATGAAGTTTTGTGAACTGGGGCATGGGTATCATTTATACTCAAAAATCCTTCATGTAACCAGGGTACCTCATCCACAGTAATGTATTTACAAAGCCATGTAGTTATGCTTTACTCTAACTTGTAATAAACAGGCACAGATTTATCAAAGAAGTATTCAAATGTTTCCAAACACAAAATTTATTTAAATAAATAAAATTTATAATTAGAAATTAAAAATCTGAAAAATCTAAAATTGTGTGATAGATTTAAAAATCTATTACAAGAGAACCACTTTCAAATACTTATGTCAAAACACTAGATCTTCCAATTATTAAGGCAAACCAAACAATTAAAAAAAAAAAACAAAAAAACTCCTTATAATGCAAACTTCAAAGCATAAGAAAATATAACTTAATAATTGGAATGAGCCTTATTTAATTATTTTAATTATGGCATGATTTAAGTAAAACAAATGAAACAAGTTCAAACAAAAATTGTGATTTCAACTCATCAGAGCATCAAAGATGTGAGAATATTGGAGGGTAAATGTACTTTGTCTTAAACAAGTTCTAGATCATTTGTTCCTACATATACTAATAACAAATATACAGTAAAATGCCTTTAATTCTATTTATAACTGTTCATTCTAGAAGATCCAAAAGGAAAAGAAAGGAAAATATCAAAACTTTAAAAAGAAAAACCTCTCTGCCTTTCTTCAGCAGACTTTAAATATTTTCCAGATCTTCAAGTCAAGAGTAAATAACTGTTGGAATTTACAGTGAGTCATCTGTTTTTAATTTTGGCCTTGCAATGACTACATCATTTATTTTGAAATAAAGATTCTAACTCTATACCATAAGACAAATTTTTTAACACAAAGAGAAAATTTTTCATAATTCTACATAAATAATCCCAGATTCATCTTTATGCCTTAGCTATTAAAAAAAAAAAAGTTTACTAGGTTAAAATGAAACATCAACATTTTACCTTTATTAATGAAGTCACAACAATTGCTCCTGCATTTACCATAGGATTATGTGGTTTATCTGCAAAATATAAAAGCAATACCATTATTTCAAATACTTAACACTTGACTAATATTACTACATTAAAATAACCTTGGAAAAAAGCACAGCTAACGTAAACTCGATTTTGCTTTTTTCTAAGTGCTTTATTTTTATCTTTATATACAAGCACTTACACAGAAGGATTTCAAAACACAAACAATTGTTTTACATAGAATAAAATTATAAGAGATTTTTTTTTTTAAAGAGACAGAGTTTCACACTGTCACCCATGCTGAAGTGCTGTGGCAAAATCATGGCTCACTGCAGCCTTGACCTCTCAAGCTCAAGTGATCCTCTGGCCTCAGACTCCCAAGAAGCTGGGACCACAGGCACATACCACACCTGGCTAATGTTTTATAGGAGATATTTTTAGGCTTTCTATATTTCCTGACAGTAAAGGTGTATCCTTACATAATTTTAAAGTTACTTAAAACTTTACATTCATCCAAACTCCTTAATTCTTACAATAAATAAGAATTTCAAAACTCAACTGATTATATTCTCATTCACTGCATGACACAAACGCTAAAAACAAAACTCTTGGGGAGAGTGAAAACATCTATTTACAAGCAAACTTCAACGTTTTAATTTATCTACCGGTGGTTACCAGAAGTCGCGGAGGGGGAAGAAGGGATTGCCAGATGTTGGTCAAAGGATACATAATTTCAGTTATAGGAGGACTAAGTTCAAGAGATCTATTTTATAACATGATATAGTTAATAACAAGTATTATATGTACTTGAAAATTGTTAAGAAAGCATACTTTAAGTTTTCTCATTATAAGTAAATATGAAGTAATGTATATTACTTTGATTTAGCCATTCCACAATGAATATATATTTCAAATCACTATGTTGTACACCATATGTTGTACACAATTTTTATCTGTCAATTAAAAATAAATAAATAAAAAATTATACATTTTGGGATATTCATAATGCCTAGTTCCAAAAGTTAAAATATTTGTTTTATATCTGATTATTACAATGAAGATTTGCATATTCCAAATTATACTAAGAGAAGTTTGCTTTCTCTGAGACCACACAAAATGAGAACACTTGCTGTCTCAGAAGAATACCATGCGGCAAGAGGGGGCCACAACCTAAAAATTTTCCAAATCTTATCCACCTGAAAGAAAAGCCCATGCAGAGAGAAAGCAGAATTCAGAAATCAGATTGTGCTAAATTATTTTATACCTGTATTTGTATGGATGTTCATTAACTGCCATTTCAGAGTTTTGACATTATCAGGCTTAGAATCTACAGTCCTAGAAGGCTGCTAATGTATGTATTCCAAATGGTATCATAAAAATGTGAGTATTAAATATTTTCCAAATGACACATACTCTGCAAATGCTACATAAACTATACTCCAGATGTCTTAAAGAACACTAAATTATTTCACGGCATGACAGCCCAATTTTCAGAAGTACGTAATTGCTCACTCTGGCTCAAAATCCAGACATCTGAACATCTGGAAATCCGCCAGAGAGAATGTAACACAACACCAGTCTAACTGCAGTATAAAACCTTGATCCAAGACCTATGACTGTGAAATTTTCTTCTTTCCTGCTGTCATAGGACAGAGTTGATGGGTTTAAGATTTTTAATTTAAAAATATTTGTGAATGGCCGGGCGCGGTGGCTCAACCCTGTAATCCCAGCACTTTGGGAGGCCGAGGCGGGTGGATCACGAGGTCAAGAGATCGAGACCATCCTGGTCAACATGGTGAAACCCCGTCTCTACTAAAACTACAAAAAATTAGCTGGGCATGGTGGCGCGTGCCTGTAATCCCAGCACTTTGGGAGGCCGAGGCGGGTGGATCACGAGGTCAAGAGATCGAGACCATCCTGGTCAACATGGTGAAACCCCGTCTCTACTAAAAATACAAAAAAATTAGCTGGGCGTGGTGGTGTGTGCCTGTAATCCCAGCTACTCAGGAGGCTGAGACAGGAGAATTGCCTGAACCCAGGAGGCAGAGGTTGCGATGAGCCGAGATCGCGCCATTGCACTCCAGCCTGGGTAACATGAGTGAAACTCCGTCTCAAAAAAAAAAAAAAAAAAAAAAAAAAAAAATTTGTGAATGGCAGAAATAACATACGAAATACTAATAAAGGCTAACATTTGAAGTAATGACAAATCAGAGCACGTACTGACAAAATGGACATGGGTGACATCTGAAATTTATGGACATATTTTAAACTATAATGCAAAAAACTGATCAATTTTAACAAGTATTTATTTCCCCCCAAGGCAATAAAATACACAGACTTCTTTCATATTATATCAAAAGAAGCTTTCAAGCTGCTTAGCATATGAACCTTACAAGGGTTTTGTTCACAGGTAAGGCCAAGTCAAACTTTTGCTAAAGTGTCTTCTGTAACCTGCAGTCAGAAAAGTTATTCCAAGAACCAAGGCCCATGTACCCTCCAGAGCTGTTAACAGTACAGACAAGGAAAGCTATATAAATAATTTGTTGGTTAAACTGATCACTATAAGGTAGAAAAAGAAGACTTCCCTGGGAGATCATAGTCTGCAAAACTGACATCTCCATAAAGTAACTTGTTTGCTCACTTTATATGATAAAAAATATCAGCCACCTCCTACCACAAGACCAACATTTTCTAAGCTGCAAACATTTTTAAACTGCTGTTATTAAAAACTACTACAATTTCTCTATCTAGTCACTATTTCCATATTAGTCTTAATAAATCATCACAATCTTATAAAGCTAGCATAACATTAATATATTTTTTAAATTTTATAATTCTAGATGTACATATATAACATACACATCATAAAAGTATATGGTTTCACCAAAAATCTACCCTTATAATTTTAAATATGAAGGAGATCCTCAAACTGTTTTTGCTGGGGCTAAACTAAACTGGGCTCAAGGGCACAGAATCTAATCAGAACTCAGGAAGGTGTAATATAGTAAAGCCTTTATTTACCATTACTTTCAAGACTTGTGGTGTTGGCTCAGGCTTAGAAAAATGTCTATAAATATGAAGGCAAAACCTCTTGTTAAACTTTATATTTCATTCTTATTTAAGCAATTCTAAACTCCTGATTTCTTATTTTTTCTTATGTAGAATACAGTATCAATAATTCATGATTTCTAAAACCATCAATGTACATGGCAAAAATTCATTACTTACACTGTTAAGTTCATTTGCTCCAAGTCCATTTCATTTTTTTTGTTTCTGAAATCTTCTATAAATTACTATATTTGTTTTCTTTTCCTTAAATATCTCCCTCAAAATCAATCAATTTACTAGACACATCTATTCTCCTTTGCTTTTCATGGAAAAGTATTAAATTTTTCTTTTAAAATATTTGATTATTTTTAGAATAACAGTATTAATTCTTTCAATATTAAATCTAGATGTCAATGAGCTTAGTAAATAGAGTGCTTCTACACATGATGTCCTTATCCAAGTTGTTCATTTATGGTAATATCTATAAAATCAAATGTAGCATCAGAATAAAAAGGTTATCGTAAAATAGGAAAGAAAATATGTTGCTTTCAAAATAAATAGAATGAGAAGCATAAGAAAATACCAGTCTTATGACTTTATCTTACAAACTAATAAGACAATAATGAGTATAAGGCACATTTCATTTTTTTATACAGCAGAAAGAAAAAAAGGTATAAAAGTGTATCTCTCGGCCGGGCACGGTGGCTCAAGCCTGTAATCCCAGCACTTTGGGAGGCCGAGGCGGGTGGATCACGAGGTCAAGAGATCGAAACCATCCTGGTCAACATGGTGAAACCCCGTCTCTACTAAAAATACAAAAAATTAGCTGGGCATGGTGGTGCGTGCCTGTAATCCCAGCTACTCAGGAGGTTGAGGCAGGAGAATTGCTTGAACCCAGGAGGCGGAGGTTGCAGTGAGCCGAGATCGCGCCATTGCACTCCAGCCTGGGTAACAAGAGTGAAACTCCGTCTCAAAAAAAAAAAAAAAAAGTGTATCTCTCACAGCCCTTACTACAACCTTCACTTTCACTCTTCAATTCTGTATCTTAACTCATCAATCAGAAACACAGCAGATGCTTAAAAGATCAAAAAACAGAAACTAAACCATAGGAATAGTTTAGCCTAGTTTGCATTCAACTAAATAATTGTTTAGACTTAAAATCTCTATCAGTTCTAACTACTTTTGTCCTTCCCTTTTCTTTTGAGTTCCTGTAATGACTTATTATCCAAGCATTAAACACAATGCGTTTCTTTCAAATTTTTTAATGTTATAATGAGAAAAAGTAAAAACACTAAAAAATAAAAATCCTCAGGGGCCAAGCACGGTGGTTCACACCTATAATCCCAGCACTATGGGAGTCCAAGATGGGTGGATCACCTGAGGTTGGAAGTTCGAGACCAGCCAGACCAACATGGAAAAACCCCATCTCTACTAAAAATATAAAATTAGCCAGATGTGGTGGCACATACCAGTAATTCCAGGAAAGTTCACATTCTCCCTAGCTCACTTCCCAGTGGTATGAGATGCATAAAATAACCATTTTTAAAAGTAGGTGATGAAATTCTCTCTATGGATTGCATAGAAATCACATGACAAATAAACACTTTTAATTTTAATCAAAAAATGCTTAAAATGATTTAGATTTACATAGGAAAATGAGACATTTTTTCAACCAATGTTTATGTAATTCTTACCGTCTTCATTCAAAAATAGTTTGTTGAATCTTAGTCCACTAGGCTCTTTTCCAACATATCGATGCACATACTCAGTTCCAAGATCATTAACAGCAATGGCATATTTCAAAGGTTTTACACAGGACTGCAGACAGAAGGGAACTTTGGTATCTCCAGTGGAATGCCTATTTAAAAGGAGATTTTAAAAAATAACATCAACTGGGAAAAAAGTGTAATTGCATAGTTGGAATTATTCTTTTCACATGTTAATTCCAATTTACAAAAATTTCCCATAATTCAACCACAAGTTTATGTCCAAATTAAAGAATAAATATAAGTACAGTCATTCTTTGATATCCGTGAGAGGTTGACTCCAGGAGGTCCTGTGATACCAAACTCCACAGACACTCAAGTCCCTTACATAAAATGGTACAGCATTTGCATATAACCTACACACATCTTCCCATGTGTTTTAAATCATCTCCAGATTACATGTAGTACCAAATGCAATGTAAATGCCATATAAATAGTTGTTGTACTGTGTTATATAGGGAATAATGACAAGAAAAAATGTCTGTACATGTTCACTATAGACACAACTAATCTATCTTTTTTTGCTCAAATATTTTCGATCTGTGATTGCTTGAATCCACAGGTGCAGACTCCATGGATACAGAACTGACCATATGTTTAAGAGGAATACTGTGAAGAAGAAAAAAAGCAAAAGCATGAAAGTATTCACGTAACAGAACTATGGTTTTAAAGTAGATAATAAAGATGCAATGTGGAAAGTTTCCTCTGCGGGCAAGAACGTAAGAGCATGCTCCTCCTTACTCCCACCTGTATTCAATCACATAAAATAAACTAGCCCTTTCAGAAATTATTCACCTTTTTTACTCATAGTTGTAAGCTATGACTAAACCATGGTTAAGGAGTTAAACAGAGCTCAGTTTAGATTCAATACTATTCTGTCAGACCCTGTCTATAAATGCTTCTTCTTATGAACCACATCCACTCACAATCCTGGCCCCATTAAAAGAAAAAACATCCAGTTTTATAAACCTGACAGAGCTGGCACTAAGTTCCAGTACGCAATCATCATTACCATGGAGATAAATAAAAGAACAAAAAGAAAGCTTTATATTACCACCAAACTGAGAAGTACATGAAGTAGAGAAAAGATTTGGGAATGAAAACATTCTAGCCAACCAAATTATAATGTAAGCTTCACAAAGGCAAAGATCTTTGATATACTTACTGGAATATCCCAAGTTCCCTGAACAATGTCCTAACACATCACAGGCATTCATTCATACTGAAAGTCATTCATAGTGAAACTGGGCACTATTAACCACCCCAAGCAGAGGGTGACAGAGACATCAAAGGTCAAACAAGAATGCTTACCCACCTCACTTCTGAGTGTATTACAGAATATAAATACATATGTATAAATGCCAAAAGCATATTTTTCCTATCAGCTTTATTCATAATGTATAACTATAGCCTTACACTCTATAGTTATACTATATGATTATAACTTCAAAAAAAAACTTCAAACTTGACAATCATTCTAAAAAATGATTAAAAGCTTGTCTTATTACCTTTGGATAATACATATGTTTTAGTTCTGAAGTCAACTTTCTGAATTCTCTAGATAAGAAATTAAGACATAGAGAATATTTAAGGAGAGAAAAATCATACCCAAGTATTACATGATAATAATTTCCTTCAAATTCAAAGACTTCCATTACTTGATAAACCATTTCCTAAAATGCAAAAACAGGAATACCATTCCCTACTGGGATTTGCTTCATGGGATAAAGTCACCATGTCTTTTCATTTCATTGTGTCCCTTCATAGCACACAACATTTAATTCAACATATGGTGACTGTTCAGTACATTTTACAGGCCCAAATGAGAAAAAAAAAGCATACAATAATGAAAGAAAAAAATGAACTAGAAGAGATCTAGGTATTCATTTCACCTTTGCCAGTATCATGTCAACTATGGGCCTCAGATTCCTTATCTTCAAAATGAATGGGCTAACCTTTATATTTTTTATTGTAAGTATTTGAGATTTTTTTAGTAAAAAAATTAAAATCACCAAGCACAGTGGCTCATGCCTGTAATCCCAGCACTTTAGGAGGCTGAGGCAGGCAAATCACAAGGTCAAGAGATCAACACCATCCTGGCCAACATGGTGATACCCCGTCTCTACTAAGAATACAAAAATTAGCTGGGTGTGGTGGCACACACCTGCAGTCCCAGCTACTGGGGAGGCTGAGGCAGGAGAATAGCTTTAACCCAGGAAGCAGAGGTTGCAGTGAGCCGAGATCACGACACTGCACTCTAGCCTGGGCAACAGAGCGAGACTCTGTCTCAAACAAAAAAAAATTAAAAAATTAAAATCACCTAAAATGAAGGTCCTTAAGAGTCACAAATTTTTGGCTGGGGGCAGTGGCTCATGCCTATGATCCCAGCACTTTGGAAGGCCAAGACAGGAAGACTGCTTGAGGCCAGGAGTTCAAAACCAGCCTGGGTAACATAAAAGATCAAATTTTCATAAAAGAAAAAAACAAAGTTTTTAATTACAACATTATCTTGAAAAGTAAAATCTAAACCTACCAAGTTAAATTACTTTTAGTAGTTTTAACAAAATTTAGGTAAAATTACAACTCTCATATAAACTTTTCAAGCTGTATTCGCTTACAGTTGTACATCTTTTTTTTTTTTATTTTTATTTTTTGAGACAGAGTCTCGCTCCGTCACCAGGCGCCAGACTGGAGTGCAGTGGCACAATCTCGGCTCACTGCAACCTCCGCCTCCTGGGTTCAGGCAATTCTCCTGCCTCAGCCTCCCGAGTAGCTGGGATTACAGGCACGCACCACCACGTCCAGCTAATTTTTGTGTTTTTAGTAGAGACGGGGTTTCACCATGTTGGCCAAGATGGTCTCAATCTCCTGACCTTGTGATCCGCCCACCTCGGCCTCCCAAAGTGCTGGGATTACAGGCATGAGCCACCGCGCCCGGCCTACAGTTGTACATCTTATGTAAGTTATATTTTAATAAAAAAGAAATACTTTAACAAAAAAAACAAAAACCAAAAGAATACATCTCTGAGCTAAGTCTTGAAATGAGTGAAAAAAGCATAATTTTCTGATAAAACCAGTTACAAGATGATAATCTTTATGCCTAATTCCCAGCACAATGAAAAGAATCATTCTTGAAAAAATATTCTAGAACTTTACCATTTTCCAAGGGCCTCTCTTAATTCTTTGATTTTTAAATCAAATCATTCTCTTTAAAGTGCCCTCACATCACTATCCTTTTTATAATTCTGCAAGTTCCTTATCTGTCAGCAGCTGTGCCTGCAATGTGAGCAATTCTCAAATACTGCTTTCACGGACTTCATGAAATCCTACATGTTTTGCAACTGACTTTTCACTTTGCAAATGAACTGATGAATAATGGGATATGTTATGTTGCAGTATCTTAATTCCCATGCTAATTATAACAGGAACACGAGGAAAAAAGACGACAGATGGGTTACCAATGTTAAGCTGAGAAATGGGACTTAATTTTATTAGTAGTCAGTTCATTAGAGAATAGTGTCATGTTTTGACAAGTCTGCTTTTCCTAAACAAATTGGTAACTGCAGGTATTTGAATAATACTCAAAAAACAAGACTACAACAGTGAATAAAATAGATGTCTCATAAAACTTAATATAATGTAACTTTCAGTTGAGTTTTTAAAAATTACATTAAAATCTAAATTTATTTACCTTTTGAAATTATGTCCTGTTAGGACTAATTTCCATCATAAAAGATGATCTTCTCCATGTCATTCTAACCAATATACAAAATTTAAGATTTAGAGTTGGTGTTCATGAATTTGAAATAAACTTACCTCTGTCCATCTACTGTACAAACAGACACACCCCACAAATCAGGACTGAATTTGGCCAGTTGAGGAATATAATCTGCAACCTATTCAAAAGATTGGAAAGAAGTGAATGGATACAATATAGGCAAATAATGTATTTTCTTCCACCAACAAATTTCTTATCTCATTTTGCCTTCTCCTAAGGACTGGTTATTTTACAACACTCAGTGGTTTTGTAGTCTATCTTCTATAACAATGTTCATGAAAACTAAAGACAAAACAGACTTGAGAATTACAGGTAAGATCTGAAGTGACTTCTTTCAGTCTCTATTAATTTCTTGTTTTCCAGTGCATTCTTTCTTTCTAATGCATTCTTTCTTTTCTATGTTTAGCAGGGGAGTCTAGCAGAGGAATTTGGACTTGATTTTTTTTTTTTAAGCAGGAAAAAAGTAAAAAATTTATTTAATCAGGGTCATGGGTGTCATAGGATTTCACTAAGAAATTAGGAATCAAGTATCTAAAAATAAGCAATAAGTATTTACACTGAAGTTGTTATACAGTTGAATCTTGAACAACATGGATTTAAGCCTAAAAAAGTACACTTATATGCAGATTTTTTCTTCCTCTGCCACCCACAAGACACAAGACCAATCCCTCTTCTTCTTCAGTTTAAACATGAAGATGATGACAATGAAAGCTTTCATGGCGATCCACTTCCACTTAATAGTAAATATATTTTCCTTATGATCTTCTCAATACCCTTTATATCCTCTTAATTATAAGAATATAGTATATAATAAATATACAAAATATGTGTTAATAGACTATTTCTGTTATTGGTAAGGCTTATAACAGTAGTTATAAGTAGTTAAGTTTTAAGGCAGTCAAATGCTATACTCAGATTTTTGTGGGGGCCATAACCCCTGCTTTGTTCAAGGGCCAATTATATTATACTAAGGCTATCCAAAGTTAAAACAAAAGAAAATGAAAACTTTCTATATGAAAATCAAATAGTCCCTAGCATTATTATAGAATTTTAAAAACTAGTGGCCGGGCGCGGTGGCTCAAGCCTGTAATCCCAGCACTTTGGGAGGCCGAGGCGGGTGGATCATGAGGTCAAGAGATCGAGACCATCCTGGTCAACATGGTGAAACCCCGTCTCTA